CGATTCCCGATACTCGGCGTGGCTTTTCGCTGTTGGCCGTTGGCTGTTGGCTGCTGGATGTTAGCTGTTGCTTGTTGGCTGTTGGCTGTTAGCCGTTGGTTCGAGATCACAGCTGAAAAAACGCGCGCGCACTCGCCTCGCCAACCCAAAAGACACTGCGGAAATGGCCGCAACTTTGGCCGGGCCAGGTCTGTGTTGGCCAAACTCTCTCCGACAGATCTATGTTCAGATTTCCTCAGCGTGCTGCCAGCTCTCCCTCTAGCTGTCTTTCTCTTTACTTCTCTCTAGCTCTCTCTCTATCTCTATCATTTTAATTCACTGTCTCTTGTTGCTGCCTCTCTCTCTTTCTTTCTGCCTTTCGCTCTCTCTCCCTCTCTGTTTCGCCCTCCATTCGGCCATCTCGTTCGCGAGCCACGCACACTTCCGGCTTGTTGATGTCTCTGTCTCGGTATGTTTTTGTGTGTTGCATTTGCTGGTCTGCTGTTTGCTGTATGTGTCTGTGTGTGTGTGAGTGTTGGGACTGTGTATGTTTTTGTTGTATGAGTGAGTAAATGTTGGCCGCTGTAAACAACAATGAACTGACGACGACGTTCGATACGCCCGACGCTCATCATTGTTGCAACAATCTGTGGCCAACAGCTCGCAAACAAGCGAACACACATATACACTGGCCAGTTTCACAATTTCACAGTTTCAGCCCTAGTTCCAGTTCCATTGCAGTTGGCAGGCCGCTTCAAGAAATACACTTTACGGTCCCAATGGTTGCATGCCAATTGGCAAGAATATGAGTGTTAAATTTGACAGCCAAATAAAGCTGATTATTTTAAATGGGATATTAAATACATTTTATGATTTTAATCATACAAGGCGGCAAGCTGATTTCGAACCGAACCAGTTCCAAATTGTATATCCAGCAAGAACCGAACCCTAATACAGATGAACAGCAAAACTTTTAAACGATAGTTTCTATAGAAAATTGACCAATTTCAATAAATAAAGAAATATGAGCATATGTTGGCGACTCTTAAGATCATAGCTGTCAGAAAAGATCAGATTGATCATTAATCAAAATAAATTACCAACCCTACAAGATGTAACTTTTTTGGCCGAGGGATCATCATTTTCGACCCACTGTGCGCTTACCAAACTATTTACATGATGCTTATATGTATTTCGTGCACTCACGAGTCGTCCGCATCTATCAACAGCATCCCATACACATATATCCTAAAGGACAAAAGCCTAGCAGCAGCAGTGGCAAAAGTGAAATGAATGCAAATAGAAAAAAAGGAGTCGAATGGACTCGAGTCTTGAATTGAGTCAAGTCGGGCTGATTCTGGAGTGAGTGCAGTGGAGTACGTGACGCAAAATGTCCTTTGCATTGTTGTCCAGCTGTTTGTCTAGCCGTCTCCTTGTTGCTTGTGCGATTTCCGCTCATTATTGCTGCAATCAGCCAGACAAAGGCTACACCACACACATCGGACTCAGACATAGAGCGCAGGATATGGGCCTGGAATTTATGCGTGTTTTGATTTTTGCGCACAGACACCATGTGGAGCATACCAATAAGGGCCTCTTTGCCGGCCAAGTGTAGCCTGAGTGTTGGATTTATGAAAATAAAAATTGTCTGACATCCATTGGCGATTTGATTATGCTGTCATTTGTCGCAGCGTAAAATAACGCCATGACGGACAGCTGCCGCATCAATGGTAAATGGTAAATGCTATATTGTAAAGGGTGTACAATATGTGGGCTGGCCATAGGGCCGGGTGTGCTACATGTAGTTGATACTGGACTGCCGGCTGCCCATTAAAATTCAATTGGTTTGGTTCTACGTGAGTTGGCTGCTTGAGACAAAAACAAATCTTTATGCATAATTCGGCCATTAAGACAAAAGTTCTTCATGGCCACTCTCAGTCTCAGCGTCAGCCTGAGTTTCAGGCTCTAAGTGCAGTCGAAGGCGGCGCGACGTCTATGCCAGATAAGCCTCGCCTCATTAATGCACAAAACATTAGCCAAATTCGAGTGTGTAAAATGCATAACACTTTGTTATCTGGGCCCAGCGCCAAGTTTTGCATTATGTTCAATCCCCGAGGGAGTGGAGATACCAGTCGCAACGTTTCTAATTGTCAGCACGGAGATACGCTTGCTCAAAGTTTAAAAACCCAGAAACTGCCAATGACAGTCGGCACAAGGCTTGGAAAATTTAAAAAATACATCGCACTACAATCGGGATAATAAAAAACATATTCACTAACAAAATCAGTCGAACTGAGCCGAGTTTTAAAACGTGCACAGCTGAAACAAAAAGTCTCGTATCATACCCCTGCTCAATGTTGTTTTCGATTCATAAATCCGGCCTAAAATAGAAAACGCTAGAGTATGTAAGGTCCTTCAAGTCTGCTATGACTAATTCCCGAGGCGAACAAATTCAAATGCAGAATTTTAATGTTTTGTTAACCTAGAGTTAAAGACTAGCTGAATAAATAAAAGCAGAATCTACACCTGATAATAGCCATACATAATACTGCAAAAAACTAACTAACCTTGCTAAATAAAAAGGATATGTAGAAATTAATATAAAAAATAATAAATGAAAAGGTTCGATGAAAATTGGTAAAAAAAATATGACTAGTCAGGGTGAGGTTATAGACGGGGATAATCAGAATATGAATCGAACCATTGAACATTATTGACTGAGCTTTAGCACAGATAGAAATTCTTGATTAATTCAGCTGACCGAACTCTTGATTGGGGAGGGGATTCCCTTAAGATGTCGCAGTTTTGTAATGGTATTTTGAGCTTTATGATCGACACTCAATTTTCTGGTTTGTGATTGGGCATTCAATATGATAACCTATTGGGTTGGCTTAATAAACTATGGAAGAGATGTCAAACGATTGCCTCGTTTGCTTTTGCGATCAAGAAGAAATATGATTTGTTAAATAGGACATTATAATTTAACGACATGCTTCTGGGTATTCCCGTGAGAGATGTCTTGGATGAAGCATCAAGAATTTTGGCCACCCACAAACGACTCGTAAATTAAATGATTTTATTTTTTCATTTTGTTTTATTTTTATTGGCGCCTCCACGCTCCGCTAGCGTCTCCAGCGACGCGCTCAGGCTGCTTAAATAAATTAATACAGATATCAGGCAGATCGTGCATCAAATTACATTAAATTAACGCTGCTCCAGGAAAACGCAGGCAAAGCAATTAACTAAGCCGCTGCAACGGATGTCTTGCCAGTGGCAACAGCCCGCCGCCGCCCCCGCTGGAGGCTGTGTGTGCGCCTCATCGGTAAAGTTTAAACGGGGTCAAGCGGTTGCATTCCCCGTTTGGTTCTTTTTTCTTTCTTTTTGTTTTTTACCGAAAATAGCACAGACACACAAATATAATAATACGAGCCAGGAGACAGGCATGAGGAGACGTGGGAGGAGGCGAACGCAAGAAAAAAGTGCGCAGCCAAACAGTTGGAGAAATAGAATTGATAAGTTTGTGGCGGGTGCTCCAAAAATAGTTGCGCCGTCGACGCTTCATTTCATCCGGCTGCCACGGAATTACACTAAAAAGGGGACGGGCTGCGATTGGAGTTCGCTTATGTGGTTGGGTCTGCCGATGGGGCTACGGCTGCGGCTACGGCTGGGACTGGGACTGGGACTGGAACGGCGACTGCTGGTATAGACGCAGCGAGTAATTGCATAGTCCACATCAACGTCTATGCCGCATTATTCCAACATATTAAAACAAAAGGCGACTCAACGGTTCCACCGGACGTGGACAGCGTGTAGCTGTCCCAGGCGATTGATGATATCCATGCGTCTGGGCAGACCTGTGCTTACACCATGCACACCCGTTGGCCCCTTCTGTCCTCGCCCCTGGCTCGCTTAACAACTCCAGACAGCCGCATGCATTGCAGCCGACCAGATGGTCCGACAGCCCAGTAAAATGTTCGCCAGACGATGCATCAGCTGTGCGTCAAAAATTGTTTAGTTATGCCGGTTTAGGGCAGGTCAGGGAATATCCTTGGTTCAATAGAGAGCAGATAGGAAGATAAACGATACTAATTCGTCTCAAAGATACTTTGAGATAAATAAAAATAGAAAACACGGCCTTATACACCGGATCGAATGAATATGAAACCAATTTTGGAGCTACGCTAAATATTTGGTTTTTCAAGGCTAGACAAGGTATTGTTTATCTTTATAAGATTCAACAAACAGAGCTGTTTAGACATTTCATCATTCACTGGCGTATTGCTAGCTTTTAAATAAGAATCGGAAGACTCGGAGCTTGCGAAACACCCATCTGTTCTGCGCCTCAAGTAGGAGGGCACCACGGATGAAGAATTCTTCAGGGCAACCTCCACCTAAGTCATGGCGGAGTCATTGCCGTCCTTAACCAGAAACTTTGGGTATTCTGTATTGAGGACGAAGAACCATAGCCATTTTAAGCTCACACCAGCAATGTAATTCGTAATATATTAAATTTTTGACGCCAATGTTGCAAACTTAAAATTAGTAACAAAAATATTGAACAAACACGTTTTCCAGAATCATAAATATACTTTGACTGAACTTTGTATTCAAATTAATATTTAATTATTAATATTAAGTGTATATCAGTGCAGTATTGATATTATCTCCAGCAGAGTCCTAAACAGATTTTATATTTTGAAAACAAGAGTAAGCTTTACAGCTTTAAGCTCTAAAGCTATTTAAAGTTTTCCTTACTAAGGACACCCATACTAACTAAAGCTAACAAGCTTTTAGCGTCTTTTTTCGGCCAAAGCTCAAAAAATGCTTTTTATTTGCTGTCATGGCTACTTGTGCCAGTTCATGGCTCGTGTTTGAGCTTTATGCACACACAATTCACGAGTTGTGTCAACAATTAGACAGCTTTCAAAAGCTCAAAATGCTTAACTAAAAAGAGCTTTTGTATTTAACGGATTCAAGAAACTTACAGTATTTAAAATGCTATGTTGTTATCAAGAACTTACCTGAAAAAATAGTGTAAACGCTACCCATTGATAATATTTTGTGTGCTTTATTGTAAGAGGGCCACGCCCCTGTGAATTGTGAATTCCAGGAAAAGGCACCTCGGAACCTTGCTTTTTCATAAACGCATCCACAACTGTATACGTTGAGTGTATCCAACAGTATGTGTTGAGAACATCTTCGGGAATGTCTCTGCGGGAAAACAAGAATCGTACGGTTAAATATCGAATTTCAAACTGGTTTCACCGGGCCTTGTCCGAGCTAGTGAAAAATACAAATATATTAAATTAAGCCCGTCTAAAAGAAAAATACACCAATATCCTTTCAATTTAAATAAAAGCCAATCGGAAGGAAAGCAAAAAAGTTTCATGCAACCGTTTTCCACCCATTTCCCATAGTTACGAGTGGAATCTAAGTGAATCAGCAATCAGTCAGTCAGTCAGTCGGTGAGGACAAACAATTCCGTATATTGATTGAAAGATTATATAATCCCACTTACCTTGTGTGTACACAGTCTATGGGGTTTCCTACGTACTGCCGCGTTGTCACAGCAATCGAGAATGTGATCAGTAAAATAACCGTTGCGTTTGTGTGCAGGCGAAAAACAGGTGAATCGATTTTGACATGAGACACCTGTTTTCGTGTAAATCGAGAATCCGAAGAGATTGTGTGTGTGGAAGTTGTTGTTGGTGTTGATTGATTTGTTATTGGTCGTATGCGAAGAGAGAGAACATTATTATTAAGCGAATTGGCAGCGGGGGATTAAAGGGGGATATAAATCGAAAAGTTTTAATGCGAAACTGTAATACAAATTTTCTAGGAATATCTGTTTCATAATTAGGTTGTATTTCTTTTGAATTGTGCTTTTTAAGTAATATAAGTAGTATATGTACATTAACTTATATGGCAGGATTACTGTTTCTTTTTCTTTTTTTCTTCATCTTCTCTTTTTCTTTTTGACAAAAACTTGATTTCTTTGACGTTTCGCCTTACAATTAGTGTAACTGACTTACAAATTAACAAACAGAGAGAAAGTCTTCTGCCATACGTACAGGTTTTCATATATAGAAGGTACTTTACTTTGCTGATCTCAGCTGGCATACATTTGGGCCCGATTCGGGGGTATAACCGCGACCATTTTGAACATCCGCTGGCCAAATGCGATCGATGACAACATATATTTATACATATCGTAAGTTTATCGCAGCTTTATTGGATGCTGTTCAATTTGATCGCGATTAGGTGCCCGGGGGTATTAATTAATTAATATGAAATAAATACAATTTGCAGTTTCGAGTTGACGAATTTGATACGGATTGGAAATTTGAATTATCATGTAAGTATAGTAAGGTGTCACAGCAATTTGGTAATTTTTGGCTTGACTTTTCTTTATACTTTATATAAAACAAAGAAAACAAAAGGAACGATAAATAAATTTTGGTGTGAAGTGTAATACGAATTGCGAAGTATGCTTACTAGCAATTAAATAGAATTGCTGGGAATGCAAATTTATGTTGAGGTTTTGACATAAATCATAAGGCGGCCACTGAAGTGAGCGAGCGAGAGAGAGAGAGCGAGAGAAAGAAGGGACGGGAGAATGAGTTAGAAAGAGTGAAAGAGAGAGATTAAATGAGCAGAGATGATAGTCGATTAACGATTAACGATTAACGATTAACGATAAACGCACTTCAGTTGGGCCGCCATTTAATGGGCTAAATGCCAATTGGGCTTTACGTGATTTGTTCGACTAATTTTAAGTTATCGCTTAAATTTCAAATTGGATTTGAATTTGTATTTGAATTTAGTTGTTCGTAACGATGACCACTCAATCGATATTTTATAAAATGGATTCACTCGTCACTTTCGGCTGACTATGAGAAGTTTAATTAAATCACAACAAAATATTCAGAAACCATAAGAGAAACTCTAAATGTTAATAATAAATAGTCTCGTGAAACGGTCTGGTAAAACCCATGAAATTTCGATAATGACTTATCAATGTCTGCAAAACGAATGCACAGATTTGTGGTGGTGGTTTTTAGTTTTGTAGTAGTTTTGTTAGTTGCTTGTTGGTGAATAAGTAAAATGTGATCGTCAGAGTGGTACAAAACAAATCTGGCGCTTTGCTATTTTGTAGTAGCTGAGGTGAACTGTGAGCTGAGCGGTGAGCTGGGGTGAACTTATGTATTCAACTTGCTTGAAAAGTGATCAACGTCTAAACCGGTGAATGGTAAACGGTGATCTGTGAACGGTGAGCGAATATTTGCGATCATGATCGTGGTAAGTTGGCTTGTGAGCGTGGTGAGTGGTGGTAGGTGAACTGTGGTGGTGGTGGTGGTGGTGTTTGTGTCGGCTTAGTAGTGGTGGTTGGTGGAATAGTGAGCAATAAAAATGTGTGCGACAGCTGTGAAAGCTGTGCATGTAATTGTGAGAAAATTGCGAGACGTAGAGAGGAGAGATAGAGATAGTGAGTGAGCGTGAAAGTGTTGTACACGAAAATTAATAACATATCAAAACAAAGAAAAGTAAAAAGATATACATATTATAGTTATTATAAAAGTTGTATAAGATTGTAGATGGTGTGAACAACTAGATGTATTTGAATTGAATGGAGAAAATTGTACGAACAAATTTTAAGTAAGGTGTAAACTTGGTACGTTAATTCTAAATATTCAACACAGTACAAGTAAGAGTAAGACAAACAGACATATACATATATTTGTAGATATATATAGAGGTATACGGTAATACGTAACTGCTCGAATCGACTGGTACCGCAGTCAGTTCGTTGGTGGGGGCTTAGCTTTAATTAAATTTTCTTTCTTTTTATTCTTTTACTTTTGTTTGGCCTGCTGGCCAGTGTATTACATACAGATCCCAGATATGGGCATATCTAGTCTTTGATATGATCTGTCACATGCACTGGCCCGCATAGTTCACAGTATATCATACTTTAGGCTAAATCCCATCATCGAGCATAAGTATTATATGTAAAATTGTTAAAATAATACTAAGCATTTGATAGTTTTCAAGCATTGTCGCAGTATCTTCTGCAATTAGCAGTCATAACTGAGTTTGGTTACGGGTTTTAATTTAATTTCATTATTATTTGATTAATTTTTTTGGAGGTTTGGACAATTTTCGAACGTAAACAAACAGCCACTATAAATATTTACAAAGTTAGGATTGATTTCTTTGGTTTAGTTGTAAATACTGTGGTTAGCTTCTTCTTGTATAGTTGTATCGATCAAGGTATCGGTATTGGTATCTGTATTTATGTGTCGGATCGGTATTGTGCTGTCGGCCTTGTTTCGAGTTTCGTTTGGTTTTGGATAGCTTGACTTAAGTGTGTTGTCTAGATGGTTGGTTTTAGCATATTTTTTTTTTATGGGAAATAAGTTTTTATATAAATATACATATATATGTCTAACAATATATATATATTTATGATTTTTGTTTTTTTTTTTTTGGTGTTTTTAATAGGTAGTAAATGATTGACAGATACACATACACTAGTTAAATACAGAGAGTGACGTGAAATTATTTTTTATTGTTGCTTTATATTAGCTCGATCAGTTAGCGGTATTTTTGGTAATTGGTAATTGGATTAATTTAGCTGTTGACTTTGGCTGTGGTTTAGCTTGGGTGAGAGTCAGTGATTGCGTGATTGATAGATAAATTTACTGTGGCAGTTTGATTGAGTGATTGAGTGAGTGAATGCGATTGAGATAGAGAGAGAGAGTGAGAAAGAGAGAGAGTGTGTGTAAGTTTGTATAAAACTTGCCGTTTAGTTAATCAAGTTTTTGGTTTCATTTTTTTTTTTTAAATTGTATATAAATTTAATTGTGATTTTGTTTAATTTCATTTTTCTTTGCTGTTAGTTACGGTATTTTTTCTTCTTCTTTGTTTATTGCTCTGGTGAGTAAAAAGTGTTCAGAGTAGGTGAAATACAAAAACATAATAGACTTGTTGCTGTTGTTACTTGTAATTCTTGTTGTGATCTAAACGAGTACGCTGTGAGCGTCGCATCCGCTTGCTGAATACGAACGAGTGTTTGACAAATACTGAATGACGAGCGTGTGTTAGTACCCTGCCATTCCTCAGTGAAAGTGAGAGTTCGGTGATAGAGTGAGAGATATATATATATATATATATAGAGAGAGAGAGAGAGAGACAGTGGCGAGTGAGTGGTGAGTGAGTGAGCGAGTAAGTATAGTAGTAGGTGATCAAGATCAGCTAACGAGTGAGCGCACGCAGCGATTGTGAAGTTCGTGAAAGTGTGTTGAAATTGGTGGAGAGCGTGGATAGTAGCGAGTGGTGGCGGTGGTTGTGGTGGAAGGGGTGAGTTGTGGAAAATGAGTGAAATTGAAAGCACTAAAGTAAAGTAAGTTCCTTGGATTGAGGAGCTTGTGGCTTAGGAATGCGATTGATCAAGTGTTGAATAATTGCCTTTGTACTATAGCTGTGTGCGGCGTTGTGTTTCAACTGCTTCAAGTGTTTTTCTACTTTTAGATTTAACATAACTCGCTTGCTGGTCACTGGTGTTGGTGTCCAGGAATTTGCATAGTTAACTTTTCGCTATTGCTGTTTTCCTGTTGTTTAATTGTGTTTTCTTTGTTTGTTGTTGTTTTCGCATTTAATTAGGTGATTCGGTTTTGATTGTTTGTTGATTGGTTTGTGTAAAGTGATTTTGGTGGAGAGCCAGTTTATATTTCGTCACAATTTTTTCAATAATTTATGTTTTTTTTTTTCTTAATTTTTCTTTTTTGCGGGTGAGGGTTATGTTCTAATTTCATTTTATTTTAAACTTTGTTTAAATTTTTTAGTATTAGTTTATGTGAAACGTTTATATTGTTTTGGTTTCAGTTTTTGTATGTCTTTGTAAGCACATTCGAGGGCGAGAGCGAACAAGAGCGATGAGTTTGGAAGTGTTTTCGAAAAGAGGCTTTAAGAACAAACATAACACAGACATAAGCAATAGACAATCAACAAAACAAAAGTAAAAAAAAAAAAGAATTGGCTACATAGCACAACAAAATGAAACGGGCAAAGCAACGCAAGGCCAACCCGAACTAACGTAAATATAGCGAAGTGAATTCTGTTTCACAGATTCCCAGGTCCGAATTCCCATACCCATTTACCCCCACCATACTGTGCATATGTGTGTGTGTGTGTGTGTGTGTGTGAGTGTGAGTGACTGTGTCTGTGTATGTAATAAGCATTATGTGAGCCTGGACTGAGTGACTTACGCTTACGAACTGATTAACAAAATGGCATTTCCCCGACTGACTGCAATGGCTATGCGACTGACTGACTTTTGCCCAGTAACCATAACAATGTATTTTATGCCCGCAATCCAGTAAAAGTCGGAATTTGCTGCCGCTTCTGTCGAGACAGCGAGGCAATAACTGGGTGGCTAACCGAGAGCTTTGGTGCTCGTTTTTGCTATTAGAACAACATTGGCAATACATTGGGGCAATAAAAATAAGTTTTGTAACAATACAGCTCGCCAGCTTAGCCATTGCGTTCTGCGTTCGAGTGTCCTTTGAGTGCCTTAAGCATCTCACACATGATGTTGTTGCCGCCGTCGCTGCTGTTGTTGCTATTGTTATGACTTCTGGGTCTAGTACAGT